TAGGAAAAGTGTTGTGTAAATGTTTTTTGGTTCGGTTCAGATAATTAGTCGACTAGATAGCCAAAGTAAGTTCCAGATGTTTACACTATTTTCCGGCCGCCATACTGGAGCACTAAGGAGGTCCACCAACATGGCAGCTCCATACTAGCCTCTATAATTTTGCGCGAAACATTTCGACGAATATCTCAACTTTGGGACAACGCACACACCTTAAACTTTGAGAACTGTCTTCTTTATATATCGTCTATAATATCACAATTTCTTGACTTTATCCATTGAATGGTTTTTGATTATATTTTTTATACACTCTCACTGAAATCCAACTGTTAACATGTATCTGCAGATGGCGTAGTGCGCGCGCAAAAGAAGTGCGCATGCGAGAGACGCAAATGTTTTACTTACTGGGGAAGTGATGGAAGGCCAAGGCCAGAAATGATTTTGGTTGGTAGAGTTAACTTTGTAGTGAGTTGATGACAATAGAGCTGGGAACAGTCTAGAAGGAAAGACCTTTGTTCTCACTCTAAGCAACGTATAATGTGACGCGAAAAGGATAGGAAATGTGGCAAGGAAGTTTGGTCCGCCAGCTAGTAAAAGTATAAGTCCTATAGTCATAGTTGCTGACTTAAATTAAATTGAAGATGGGACCAAGAATTTTGAAAGATAGCGTTTTAAAACTAAGCCACACGCATAATTTAGGACTGTGCTGAGACCAAAATTCAATCCAATTAACGTCCTTTTCCAGGCTGGGAAACGTTATTTCTGAGAATCAGTGATATATGTGTTATTGAAGTAGCGTGAGGTGCGTGCTGGTGAAATATTGGTCGAATTGTTACTATTTTTGCAGCAGGTTCATGAACCGAGCCTTACGCGAGGTCCATAAACCTGTTAAAAGAGAACAAGACCTATATTCTCCGATACATACCGAGCAAGCTAGTTCAATAAAGTATTTTAATCTGCCGATAAATTAATTTTTTATTTTAATCTGTTGATAAATTAATTTGATACGTCTCGGCGATCCATTCTCGGTAAACGCCCGAGCGAAAAGTACGTTTTCGCTTCGCTTTTGTGAACAGTTAACTGAAATTGTCCTCAAAACATTAAGGTAAACAGATTTCTACAAACTTTTTTTTGTTTTGCGCAATGAATTGAAAAAGAGATTCGCAGAAATTAATTCTTGAGCGGTCCATCCTAGCGGTCCATATTGTAAAATTCAGATCGCTAGGAGAACCAATCACAATTTTCTTTTTCAACGCGGACCAGTTCAGCCCTATGATAAAAGGTCTTTGTATTTACACACTCAGTGATCTTCGTGTTCAAGCAATCTGATTGGTTCGCTATCTCTGGCTAATGAGCATTATTCACCTCCTACCGAGTGAATAATATACGATTCAAGCAAAATTCAACATGGCCGGCATAAAGTCGCGTTCCGCCAGTGTTTCTGAATCGGAAATCCTGAGAATAAAAAAAGATGCTGTACCAAAAAAATACAAAGAACGCTTTGAAATTTGGTCTGAAAGTTTTCAAAGGAGAGAAAAGACTTACCGACGTTCGACTTTGGCAATCACAGATCTCAACAATGTAAGCATGGTTAATAATGGTAATAGGACTGAGTGGAATCCAATTCGGTCTGTAATCATACGAGTGATTAACAAAATCGGACGACAGCGAAGCGGGAGTCGGATTTGTTAATCAGGAGTGTCATTACGGACTGAATTGGACGACACGATGTCCTGTTACCAATTAATCATAACCATTACAATTTCCCACAATTTGAAAAAAATAGCTTTTAACAATCATTTTTAAACATCATAATTAAGAAAAAAGTCATCGGAAACTAAAGCTGCACAATTTTACAAAGTCAGTCTCTTGAATTGGTTACTATAGTGACTGTAATCAATGTTGTGATTGGTGGACTTAGTGGAGAGGACTTAAAATGATTGGCTCATGTAACTGTCCGATTACAGGTGTCCGATTACAGCTAAGTGTCCGATTACACTGTCCGATTACAACTTTGCAGATTAATTGGAACAAAATACACCAGTTTATGCACCAATCACATTTAAGGAAATTGTAATTGTTATGATTAATAGAGTAAGCAAACCCGACCGCCAAGTCGCTCCGCGGGCGCCCGGAATTGACAGAAAGGAATGCCACAGGGCTCATTGGCAGAAGCATGCAGTGCTATTCAACGAAGCACCTCTACGCCGTTATGCAAGAAAACATTCAGTTTTCACCAAAGTCCTGTGTACACGGCATATTTTCAGGTGATCCTTCGCCAACTGTTCTTTCAATTTTCATTTTATGTGAAAAAGAAACTTTGATCGAACAGTAAAATCGTTTTGCAAACAGACTTTCGATTAAGATTAGTGATTTGAATGCTGTTGAAAGACCATTCTGCTAGATTGTAACGAGGATTTTCTCGAAGTTTATCTAGATTTGCCATGTTTGAAAGTTCTGTAAATAGTTCAGTTGGTGCATGCTTCGTGCCGTTTGCACGCCAGTTTTCCACGCATTAATGAGGTTAATGAAATCGACTTTTAATGGGTCTCTTTTCGTTTGTTGTTGGGATCACTTCGTGTTTATATACTAAAACTATTATTCTTTTCAATCTCGGCGAATAGCGGCAGAATATTTACCTCACTGCTTTGCGGCTCGGCAAATATTCTGCCACCACTCACCTCAATTTTAAAGAATAAATGTCAATTATACCTACTCTTAAACACTTTAATCTTACTTGGTTTATCCACAGCGTTGAATGTGGCTTTAAACCCCGGGTAAAGCCTAAGGTATCCACTCCTTGATATGAAACGAACCCGCATGTACCGACTGCTTGACCTCATGGGTTCTGGAACTACAATATCACAGTAAATTCCCAACGAATCTTCGGTCTTCCCATCATAAACTTCCAGCGAACTGCCTAAACATTCCTTCCATTCGCGGGGAAGCAATTGAAACCTCTCAAAGCTGAGTTCCACAACTTTTCCCTCTGGTACAGTGATAAGCCATTCACACCGGAGAGAAAGGTAATCTTCCATTGGGCTTTGCACAGTTCCGTGTGAATCATTTAGCTTCAGGTTTAGATTGTTGGCGTTTCCTGGGAGACACAACTCTTCATCGTAAACTGGAAACAAGTACAAGAGAATATCGTTAAAGGTAATCTGGCTAAGCAAGGAGAAAATGTACAAGATTTGCGTGCTCAGTTCGAGACCGGAAGTTTAGCTATACGACTAGATTATCCATAGATGACTGAACTGACACCGACTGACAGCTGCAATGAAATATTCTATACCAGATAACTCGCCACACCTACTAGGAGACGCAGTGGTCCGTTTCGCAAACGGTTGATGCCATTTTCGCGACCCTGAGAAATTTTTGTGACTATCAACGAATTTTTCTCCACTAAAATTAAAGAAAAAAGAGAATTTGTTAGTAACCACCCAGTATCGAACCCGGAACCTCTGTTTCCTAACATCCCTCTTAAACCACTACAGTACCAGATTGATCCGCCAAATTTCCACAAAATGTAATTATAAAACGTGACTGTTTTCAAATATTAATGACAGAGATGCCCCAACCATCAAATAAAAGCTAGCCGCAAGCGAACCAGTGCGCATATGAACAATTAAGCATTTGGTGAGCGCGTTTTACTCCATCAACAAATTATATAACCAGTTTCTACGTTGTCCAGGCCTAAACTAAAGCAGATATGGCATCGTCCATTCTAAAAAGCTTGGTTACCAATGATGGCATCGACCGTTTACGAAACGGAAATCAGCCTAGGCGACAAAGTTTGATCTCACGCCTATAAATTACACCTACTAACAGTAAAAGGTACTAAAAATTGCCATGACAAAATAGATGTGTGACACACTGGCGAAAAATGTTCAAACTTCAACCAGAACAGAAGAGAATCGCTCGCGTAAATGACGGCCCCCAGCCTCCCCTCTTTTAGAGGGGGGTTTGGATGGCATGCTGGTAAATTTTAAATGATTTCATGGCTATCACCGTTAAATTTTGATCCCCAAGCTTTCAGTCAATTTTGCACATCTCAGGAACAAAATCATTCTCAACTGGCAGTTCAAATTTAAGCCGACTCTCAGCTGCCAGCTAGTGAAACCCTACCCAGACCCTATTAGAAGGGAACTTGCTAGTTTTGGGGGGAAGACATCTAGGACTGGTAAAGGTAAAGTCTGCGTACGAGCCAAGTGGCCCACCAGGCCGGAGCTTATCCCAGTTTTTGTAGCATGAAGCCACTAGAAGTATTTCTACTATCCCCTAGATGGGATGCTAGTCCATTGCAGGGTTACCCCCAGCATTAAGTTCGCCGGTACCCATTTATACACCTGGGTGGAGAGAGGTACTGTGAGAGTAAAGTGTCTTGCCCAAGAACACAACACAATGTCCCCGGCCAGGGCTCAAACCCGGAGCACTCGTTCTGGAGACGAGCGCACTAACCATGAGGCCACCGCGCCTCGCACGACATCCAGGACTGGGACCTAGAAATGTTTGGGACATCTTTGGAAATGTTTAGAACGTTCTTGGAAATCTTCGAACGTGTTCAGTTATGACCAGGCCCTCCTCGAAAATACTGGCAATGCCGATTAAAAATCTCACGCCTTTGGCTCGGAAAAGATGGCATATATGGTATTCAGAAGAGTTATACAAACTAAGAAATAAAAGAATTAAATACGTAATTAAGACAGTGCAAATACCTGTGTGTGTCAAGTCAGGCGCTTCGACAGCTTCAAAATGTGCTTTGAAACCTCTTTTTCCTCGCACGCCAATGGGGATGGCAAGAAAACTAACATACATTTGAAAACCAGGGTAAGTCGAATAGACATCAAAGGCCGTCAGGTTTCCACAGTAAGTGTTTTGTTGGACTGGCCACGAACCGTAATCTATTCCAACATGGTCCATGTTATAATTGCAATCATCGTCAACATCATTCATGGAACTTCCTCTGAGTTCAAAATCTACAAACTTTATCTCGATTCGATTACCACCATAAGTAGAGAATCTCCAGACGCATAATGCATTATCTGGATAAGGTACGGGATAATCCGGGGAGAAAATTGTTCCAGTGCTCCTATACCTAAGGTCAATATAATCTTTATAAGGGTAACGACATATCCCAACGGCCTCGTCTAAAAGTAAGAAAAAAAAATTAAAGCGACATTATTATGGGTTTTTACAATGCGCTTGAGACAAATTTGTCAGTTATAGTTTTAAATTGAATATGCTCTCATAAATCAAGTCATTTCAGTTCTTTTTGTCAGAGTCCGTCATATTAAATTGGGAATTCTATCACTCTGATAGTTAAGCACATTACATCATTACAACTACCTTAAATAACACGACTAAAGTTCATTCAGGTTGCCAATAATAAGACTCGAGTAGTTAGCTTCCGATATTTCTCGATACATTTTATAACTTTCGTTCCCTTCCTTGTTTTTGAAAACTTCAGATTTGAGTTGACGCTAAGTTGTCCCTTAATCTGAATCGCGCGATTGAAGTCTACGGTTTCTTTGTTATCCAATGATTATATTGTGGGAATTTTATATTTAACACTGTGGCTAAATGATCAGCAGCCGGTCAAGATTTACAAACCACAAAATGAGTGACAGTCTGATATTTTTCTAAAATTCAATTAATCGAAGGAACCCATCCAATTCTGGGCTCAGAGAACGAGACCAAGTTTGTGACACTTAGTTCATTTCGATCCTAGCTAGGATCCAGTGATTTTAAAACCGTGACCGGCAGCCCAGAGTAAACTTAGCGGTAGACTTGAGATCTATAAAGCTCTTCTGGATTGCTTCGCACTTCTCAATCGACATAAGGTAGTTTTTATTGGATGGGTTTCTTCGATTCCTTTAGGGCATTTGACACCCTTCTGCGCATGTGCGGCAATTTCTCAGTTTTTATCTGACGGAACAGTTTTGAAAGTTGATATTAGTAGGAAAAATCCCTCTCCGTCGACCTTATGAGGCGTGTGAAAATAGTAATGCCTGTATTGAAGAACTGTTTAGTCAGCTATGAAAGATTTTTAAAAACGGTATATTTTGTGTTTTGAGTTGAATACCGTCGAGAAACACGATGGCGTTTCGAAGCCGCTAGGGATGAAACCTATTTTCGCCCTGTAGCCCTCTCGGGTGTTAGGGTTATTCTTTACAAACAAAAGGTCAAAAGCTGGTGGATAAAGAAATTTTCGAAAGGTAAGTGAAACTCCAAGCTGACCCGCGGCGAATTTGTGGCGCTCGTGATATTACGCCTTCTATTGGTTAAAAAAATTGGTGTCAATCAAGATCGCGCATGCGCTTTATCGTGACACTGGCCCTTTACATTTGTAAAAAGCATCGGACTGCCCGGCATTAAGTGATTTGAAAATCTTGACCGGCAGTCGGTTTAAAAAGATCTAAGTGTCACAAACCATGGTCTCTTTCTCTGAGCCACGTGTAAACCAAGTGTTAGACTTGCAATCTATAAAGCTCTTCTAAACCACTTAGCAGTTCTTTATCGACCTAAGATAGTCTGAATTGGCTGGATTTCTTTGATTCCTTAAATCTGTCAAAAATTCTCAGACCGGCCGGCATACGTTGCCGGCTGCTGATCATTTTGCGCAGTGATTCTTTCCTTATCCAAATTTGCCCGGGACCATACCCATTCAGTGGGAGAATATGGGCCTTTGGTCTTTTTAAAGATTAAAATCTCTTCAAAATGTCAAGGCATTTAGCACTGCTATGTTAAATGGAGACAATACAATAAATCAAGGAACAAATATCGTAAAGTAGAACTGAAAACTTGTTCAAATCCCAACTAGACGGATATTTACAAGACGTGGGGAAGTTGAATTCGAGGCCACCGTGCACAAATTAATTTATCCAGTAACAGGGAAGACGATTTAAACCATGGACCTCCGGATTAAAAATCCAGAGCCTTAACCACTTGGCCACGCCGCCCCCTAGCGCACTTCGGTACATACCATTAAGACTTCGGACTGATATTCCAACAATGCGTTCGGCTCGGTATACATTTAATTTTATTTGTCGTGGAGCCGTTCCTACCCAAAATCAAACAGAATGACAACGGAGGGGGTTTTTGTACTGACATTCTACTACACCAGAAGCGTTAATTAAAAAAATACTGAACAAGAATATAGTTTTAATGTACATGTGATTACTCAGTACCTTCTCTAACCGCTGAAACACTGATGCTGAACCCTCTGAAAGTCATCTCGCTGTCTGTGTGCAACTTGATGAACATGTTAATTCCAGTGGAATAAATAACTTCAGGATGAACTGTACCACAGAATGATCCAAGAAAGAGAGACGACTCCGATTTTCCATCATAAAAAGTTAAGTTATCAAATGGACAGCGAGTCAATGAAAGGGCTTGATCTTGTTGCAACTCAAAGTCATTGAAAAGCACCTTCAGTACATAGCCTGAAAGTTTGTTTTCAATTTCAACCTGCCATGTACATTCCATGTTGTCAGAATAACCCATGGGATACTCGGGGCTTGTTATAGTCGTGTTGTAAGATGTTGATGCATTAACCAGCCATGAATCGCTCCCGGTTGAACAGTCTATCATATCGAGAAAAAAATATATATATAAGTATTAAGCGTTTCAAGAACCTGCTCAGTGACCCACAAAGCTTAGCCCTTCTGGTAGAGTGGTAACAGGGCTTTCCACACTGGGCATTTCATTATACGGAAAGAAGAAATATCTCTACTTGATTTATGTATGTATGCAAAAGATACCACAGTTGTAGAATAACATAACATGAAATTGAGTCGCTTACTCTGAGCAAATGTTACTTGTCCTGCCAAAGCCACCAACACCAGACCTATAGGATAAGAACAAATGCAGACTGACATCGAATAGAGGGCTTCGTAACATTTTAATTATTTTGTTTAATCTACATGCACAACTGAAAATGTACAAATTTACATGTGCAAAAAGTTTTCTCAATTAAGTTTCCTTCTGCTTCCTCGTCATAAAGAGTTACAGTCGAATCTCCCGTAAGCGACCACCCAAAATTTCAAGCCTAGATGGTCGCTTACGAGATCTTTGACCATATTGAGGAAAATTTTCCCTCGTTAGCATATGGTAACTGCAGAGGCTTACCCCATGTTTTAAATGTTTTATTCCTGAGTAAAGTCAATTTCGAGAAGAAATCCGGTGCTTCCAAATTTTCGTCTCTTGTACTACCCAGGAATGCGATGATGTTGCAACACCTTATTATCCAATTTACACTCTAAATATCTGTCAAGCGATCGCTTACAAGAGGTTGAAAACAAAAGAAAATTTCAAGGGTTTAGCTCTAAAAGTGGCCGCGGTCGCTTACGAGAGGTGGTCGCTTACAAGAGGCTCCAAATATAGTGATTTGACTGTGAAACTGTTGGTATTTTGGAAAACTAGTCGCTGAGGAGAAGTGGTCGCTTACTAGAGGTGGTCGTAACCGGAGGCTTGACTGCAATTACATTGATCACGCACGGCACTACTACAGTGTAAAATACATTTTCATTTGAAAAGTTTTGTACAAGGACCATTTGTGAAACAGACGCAAAAAGCAACTCGGGAATGACCTAGTAATTTCCGTATTACTTAGATTTTGAGGCACGAAATTAAATAAGTTCAAATAACGACAATGCTCAACAGCTAATTAGAGTCTCGACTCTTATCCTAAATCCTTAAATAACGCGCGCGAGAGAGAGAGATCCAGAGGGGCATACAATGACCCTATAACCTTAGAAACCGCTTCAATAGTAGTCATAGTAAAAATTTATTTAATGTCGAAACGTGGGAAGTGTTTGCACAATCTTCCGAGCCAAAGTCTCATGTTCAAAACGCTTGACAACAAATAAATAAGATCTAAGAAGTATATACGCAGGAAATACGCAGGAAATATATAATACGCAAGAAATCATTTTGTGGCAAGACAAACGAACCCCTGAATCTTTTGTCCCCCCAAATCTCAATGATTGTTCACAAGAGTTGTATTAAAACGTGAAAGTAAATATCAGCAGTAAAGCTTTGAAAAGTCTTAAAAGGCCGTTGGTAGTTTATTTTCACTCGTGGTCACTTGTATCACAAGTTTGTAGTTTCGAGTTGTTGTTCCACAATGATTTTCACGACTTTCCGGTGAACTGAAGGTCGTGGGTGTCCGCCAAGAGATTACCACCGCCAGAAATAGACTCCACTTAGTTGAATTTAATTTACCAAAAACCAAACACAATGACATGATACGTCAGGAACACAATCCGAGATCATTTACTCAAGTAACGTAATTCGCGTGACTACGGTGTTTCAGCTTGTTTCTCAGTGTAACGACCAGAAAGCCGAAAACGATCGCAAAACTGTGAAGTAGTGAAGTATCCCACGGATTTGGAGAATACTGCAATACCGTAACTGAAGATTAAAATCTCCCGGAGGGCCGGGAGTTATCTTGACCATAGCGAATGTATCCAAATAATCTTGTGCAGTCCAATTTTTCTAGGTTTCCCTACCTAACAAGTTAAAGTTGAAAAAAATATAATGCGTATTTCCAGCTTTGGTCTCTACGCATCAAGAACTTTGCCAACCGTGACTTGAACCGGCCTCATCGAGGCCGAAGGGCCGTATTGGAGACCTCGGGAAAAGCATTTCTCGACATTGACCTCCCTCTCTGCACACGTGACGGGATGGATACTATATTATCTGTTTCAGCAATGATTTGACAATATTTTTTCGCTTCATTCGCAATCATCATTACGACCCTTCAGTTCTGAGTATAACGAAACAGAAGAACATACAAAGGAAGGCACAAAATAGATTGCGTGATAAATTTGCGATCGTGCAACCGAAAACCCTCGTGATCCATTGTTTGTCAATTTCAAACAGCTTGAGCAAGAATTGCACTTGGGTGTTTCTACTGATCATTCTACGCAGTAGTCTGCCTTGTTTACATCGCAAGATTTCAAGCAACACATTGCCTTGCACAATTTAGTGACATTTATGTAATTGCAACAGGCCAACGATTTGAAATACGTAAACAGGGTTAAAATAAATATTGATGAAGACAAGAGCCACAAAGCTGAGACGGTATTCCAAAGTGAAATTACTTAAACCGCTAAACTGATTTTCTACAGGTTAGAGCGTTTTTGATTCAGTAGCAAAGCAGCGTGACATATCTAATTAACAATTGTTTGATTCAGTCTGGTGTTTGACCCTTGTAATATCTGTAGACCTCAAAGTGCACGAGAAATTAACATAAGGTCGATTCTTCTTGAACTCAAGTTACAGTTAAAACACTAAACATCGTTCTGTTGCTTTTCAACCGTCTGCTTTAGCTGGAAGTTGTATCGATTGCACTTGTCCCCGAGTTTTATTTCGCGAGAGGCCGCTTAATGCGGTCACCTGAATAACAAGGACACTACTGCGTGTCCTTTAGGTGTCCGTATTGAGTTTAATCAATTACTGTGCTGATGAATTGACGTTTTTGTAAACTGGCGAGCGGGACTACGGCGTGTCACAACAACGACAGTGATCCCAGTAAACTAACATAAAGCTAAAAAAAAATGACATCTTACCAAAAATATACCAGCCTGTTATGTTATCCATGATAAAATAATCTCCCTGCTAGTTTGTTATTTGATTTTGCATGCAAACAGCAGAGTCACCGGCAACAGCGAGATCTAGCCTTAGAGGATCACGTGACACTAGTGGCTAAGAATACAGGACACCCAACCTCCTATTTATAGTCTTACTTGCCACATGCACAAAACGCAGCGCCCTGACATAGTTTAATCCTTGCTTGAAGACCACGGGCCAGATCAGCGGAACTTAGCTTAGCATAGTTTATAAGAGGCAAGTATGGTGGGAGCAGGAATGGCGCAGTGGTGAGAGTGCACGCCTCCCACCAGTGTGACCCGGCATTGATTCCGGCCCAGTGACGTATGTGGGTTGAGTTTTTTGTTGGTTCTCGCCTAGCTCCGAGAGTTTTTCTCTCAGAGTTCTCCGATTTTCCTCCCTCCACAAAAACCAACATATTCAAATTCCAATTCACCAGGATAGAAGATGTGTCTGGAAACCGGGCTTTCTTCTCTAAATACTATAATCTACTTATTTTATTTTTATTATTTTTATCATTTTATCTATCAGTGTCATTTGTCAGCCAACAGTTAAAATTTTGACCAGTTTCTAGTCATCAGTAAAAACCCCATAATCTTTCAATTATTATATATAGCTACATAGTTTGCTGTGGAAGGCACGGTGGCCTCATCAGTTTAGTACGCTTAACTCCGAAGCGAGCGGTCCGGGTTCGACCCCTGGCCGGGGACACTGTGTTGTGATTTTAGACAAGACACTTTTACTCTCACAGTGCCCCACTCCACCCAGGTGGGGACCGGCGAATTTAATGCTGGGGGTAACCCTGCGATGGACTAGCATTCCATCCTGGGGAGGGAGGGCCGGGGGAGTAGAAATACTCCTTGTCGCTTCATGCTACTGAAACCGGGACAAGCTCCGGCCTGATAAGCCACTTGGCTCGTGTGCAAAACCTAAAACTTAATGAATATTATGAAATGAATGACATGAAAGGTCAAAGGGTCGCTTAGATTGCTCAAGTGACCTGTTCTGAAAATATGTAATGCATAAAAACGAACTTACTTTATAAATAATTTCATCGCCTCGGTCTGTTTGAAAGTCTTAATGCTGCGATCTCGTTCGGGACTTCCGCAGTAAATTAAAGTTAGAATACTGGTAAATCGACTCAAAATGCATCACTCGGACAACAAAAGTGTCCTGTGCGGGGCATTTTGGATATCCTGTGATTTTCTCAGACTTAATTCGTACCCAGTTTCACTCAGTGCAATCTGCTGAGAAACAAACCTGACCTTCGGCGTTCCTTACGACTGTCAAATTTTCTCATGGAACTCACAGTAGGCTGGCATCTTTATGGTAAGTCGTTAGATTTTTATATGCTATTAAGCTTCATCTGTTACTGCGGCCAAAGATCGGTTTGACATGAGCTATATATTGCTGTGCCGTTTTCCTATCTCGTCGATCGACTGTCAGGCATCCAGTGCTTCACGAATCACTTGAGACCCTTACTTGTAAGCTATTCTTCCGAAATCAAAGTAAATTCGTTTAGAAGATGAACTTCAATATTGGTGTTAAGTTTAGTAACTTCGTCTTAAATTTTTAGCTTTTATTACTTAATTCTCAGTATTTTAGACATTTAACATATATATTTTAGACTTGTATTTTTTTAGAGGGCCGGTTCCTGAAAACCACATCCAGGTGATTGAAGGCCTCCTCTTACAATATTAATTAATTTTATGATTTTTTAATTTTTTTTTTTTTTTAATTTTCTTTTTATGGACGTAAAGCAAAAATTATGTATCACTATAGTTAGATTGCGTGACATCCTGTGCCTGACTTCGTCCCCGTGTTGCATGCAAGTATAACAAGCTTATTGCATGTAAGCTAAAAGAGCTTTAGTATTATAAGTTAATAATAAGCTTATGTTGTTTACAATCTTGTCAAACAAACAAATACTGTCGCATCAGAGCGGGGAGGAAATCTAAAAAATTATCAGAGAGCAGAAACACCAAGTCCAATTTTCTGCTCTCATAGATCAATTCCATTGTCATTTAAATCTCTAGGGATAATTACAATGGTTACACCAGAGTGTTGCTCGGGTTATATTTATATTCATTGCTGTATTTTTCGTAGTGAAAAAAAATGCAATCTCATTTCTGAAGGGCAGTAGAATAGTGAATCAAATTGTGGAAAATTATTAGCACAGCAGTTTTATACAAACATAAACTTACTTTTTGAGTACTGTTGCTCTTGACAGGCTGCCTCATTTTATTTGGTAAATCTAGTGATTAATCTGAAGGATCTTGTGTTAATTGTTACAAATAGATTCCATGTTGCCGTGCATTTGTCCAGACAAGATCACAGATGAAAATGTGGTTTCATACGGTTATTTATTATTAATTGTAGACACGGTTGCCAAAAACACACTCCTATCATAAAATTCATATAAAACTACATGTAAATCTGGGACCCTAACTGGCTTACTTTCCATATCTTCACTGGTGATATCTATATATAATTTTGTGCTTTTTTACGGTTGTTTGTGCAAACCTTCAGTCTATACAATAAAAATTATTGATTAGATATGAATTTTATATTTCTTGTGTTAAAGAGAATACCTATCACTCTCTACAAAAA